GTAACTCCTCAACTTATTCACAATCTTCGATTTCAACTTCGAACTTTTACTTTTCGACTTCTCGTCCTTCGACAATAGATCACGAATCCTTAATTGTTTCAAATTCGAATCCTCTGTTTCAGCTACATGCTCTGTTTTTTCCTCCAGACAAGAAACCGCTTTCTTATCACTTGAATCATCAAAAGTCTCGGTTTTGTCGGCTTTTAAGAGATTGAATCGCGTGAGCAAACGCGCCGCCGCGAGCTCTGTTAAGAGGAGAGCGAAGGCGGAGAGAGTGATTCCTATAGTGAGCTTCTTCTTCGTGCTCAAGGCGAGCAACGACACTATAAAAATCTTAAACGCCATCAAAACGCAAACGCAAACGTTATTATCATTTTCGCGTTTGTTCTCAGCGGCTAATCCGTCGTCGACGAAATCAACTTTCTCGACTAAACTCCGAACAGCTTCGGGTTTTTTCAGAGCCACGTCTGGTTTAGCAGAGAAAACAGCGTTTGGAGCGGTATGAGACTGGCGTTTGAGGCGTTTAGGGGATGATTTTTTTAAACGATCGCGATTTTTGACGAAGAGATCGATTAGAGAAGTTGGGAAGCCAGTTTCGACGACCAAAGACCCACCACGTTTCGGAGATTTCTGAAATTCCGACATGAATCTCGAGATTCTACTTGATTTCGGTTTTTTCCATAACAGAGACATGGCTCGATAGGTTTTGTTTTTTCAAAAAAGGAAAGATCTTTAAGCTCTGTTTAGTGTTCTTGGAGAAATTAGGGTTTGAGTTTTGGAGAAGAGATTGATGAAAATTTGTTGACAGGTCGAAGCAATAAATACATGGAGTGAAGGAGAGGAGGTTATTGCGCAGAAAGTGAAGGTGTGATCGCTTTTTTGAGCGTTATTTAAAACACGAGCTAAATGATGACTAAATATGGAAAGAGAGAAATATAAATTTTAAATTTCAAAAGAGTTAAAACCGAGTTATTAAAATTGATTAAAAAAGATTTTAACTTTTTTTATGTTACTTTAAATATTTTATGAAATGAAAAGATGTTTTGAAATTTCGAAAAAGTAGGTTGTTTGTTTTTTTAACTTATTTTTCGGAATCGAGTTAATAGTTCGGATTCTAATTAATAGTGTTGTTAATCAACTTTTTGTTTTGTTTAACTAGTGTATTTAGACGAATCCAAACTATTTACTTTTGATCGCATTCACACTAATTGTAATAGAGAAATTTTAATTGGTTGGCATGAGCTTGAAGCTACTTGTTATAGGTTTTGTTGTCAATCTAATCCTAGTATTGATTTGCAAAAAAAATGAGTACAAAAAATAGAGCAAAATTGGGGCTTTAATCGAGTGAAATTTATAAAGGATACTTGCACAACTTGAATGTGCCAAAAATTGTAAGGTGGTGATACTTTTAAGTTAGCACATAAATTATAAGTTTCTATTTTAATCTTTGTAGACCGGTAATAGACACATTTGTGTGCATATAATTACATTTCTAGGTAATTCTCTGATACATACATAAATTTTGGAGCTAACTTACAAAGATAACAACATGCCTAACTTTTTTTTCTTCTTTTTGTCAACCAAAGTTTTATATTATTAAAGCCCATTGGGCTAACAAAGTGGTACAGATGAGAAATTACAAGCCCAACACAACTAAAATTTTACAATCTTATCTCCAAAACACGTGTCAGCTTGATAGGGTAACGTGGCGTTCATGCGAGAGATCGGAAGTTTGCCGTCGATCAGCACAGATTTTCACCGGAAATCGCAACTTTCTCTCTCTGAAAGATGGGTAAGAGAGACGAGAGAGTAAGTGCGATCTTAACAACAGGCCTATCTAATCTATGTGCCTTGTTAAGAAGAAAAAAACATTTGCTTTAAGCTTTCAAAAATTTTGCAAGAAAATGTTTTTTACTGCATTCGTTGATACCAAAACATTTTGAAAAAAAAAGAAGACGAATTTGAATTATAAAAAAGAGTGAGCTTCTCTTAAAATGATTTCAAATTGTGGTTCATAACATCATTATAAAATTTGCTTTCTCTCCATATCATTTCTTCTTCTCTTTTATGCAATTTTTGTTCCTGTTAGTCCTACATACGTATAGGATTTTCTATCAAATGGGTTCCAAAGCCATTGCTTTATGTTGTTCAACTCCTAACCTTGAAGATATTAGTCGGGAATAAAAGAATCCCCCAAACTAAATTGGAGAAATTGGATTAGAGAATTATGAACACATAAGTCTTAAGATCATTCAGATAATAACAAAACACAGAAAGTTTACACATAGATAGATCCGATAGAATAATACAAACCAACCACACACACAAAAAAACCACCAAGTCATAAGGATAATAAACCTAAACTCAGAAACAAACAAAAGAGAGAGACATTTGCATTTTTCATTCATGGGACTACTACACGAGCCAATGCAGCAGCAAGATCACGCAAAAACTTAGCCTTTCGACGCGCAAGTCTCCTTTCTTCCTCCAGCAAA